CATGCATTTTACTACAAACAAATTATTGTTGTGAAAATCCTTGTAAATCATGCAACCAATCGTAGGGCTCATTACAAGAATATTTAGCGGTAAACCAATCATATTCATTATAACAACATCCTCAAAGCACATTCAAGGTCAAATGTATAAACCAATCACAACGCAGTTTAGAACAGCCTTTACCAGGGTCTTCTCATTTTTCACGCGCCATGCACGAAGAAGACCCTGGGGACGAGGTTGGATCAGGGCTTAATTGGTCACTAAGCTTTTACGGACCGCGTTCCAAACAAAACGTTCTTTACAACCACTGTTAAGAAGCACGCATTTGTCAAGGTGCACGCGTATATGCGCAAACAAGAAAGATCTCTTTCGTGTTTAAAAACGTTTCAAGTTTTGTCGATTTTCATGCTAACAAAAATTACAAAATCAAACACTCTAAAGAAATTCAAGCTGTTCTCCATTAAGTAGACAGTCACTCATTTACCCAAGATTGGCGGCGGTGTTTTTACATAACACACCTGACCTAAGACTTACGTAAGGTCTTTATAGTATAAACGCGCCTACGCAATGTACAGTTTGCCAGGCCTAAAACGTATAGTATAGTACACAAAACACTATGCATATAGTCACTAATAATAATCTATGTAATAGATTTTGCGTAGAATGTGTTGACAATTTTTTTCTTGATTCTTAATTTCAAAAAGTAAATTACATTGATTATGGTGGCGTATATAATAATTATAGTGTTAAATTATATCCATGTCTATTAAAATTACCGCTGAGAAGGAACCATATTTTTATATGCAGCATTTATAACAAACTTCAATACGTGGCAGTGACGGGTAGTGTAGGTAATGTTCTTCAATATCATCAAACATCAATGACTTTGATTTGTAATTGATATCACGCAATGATTTGCAATGACTAATTAGTATACAGTATAGGCTATATTATGGGAACATTTTCGCAGCATTACACTTCAGATATATGTAAATGTGCAGTTGTCATACAAATATTCAGTTATGAACTATAATTAAGAACGTCTGGCCATAGTTCTGTTTCATCTGTGAGATGTTCATTAAATCACAAGCTATTGTGACTGATTAAAAGTTGCTTGAAAATTAAGGGCTTGGAAACGTGCTTATATTATATGCATGGTGACAACCTGTGTGCCCTTGACTGTTGAGGTAGCATGAAAATCCAAAGGATGCATATATTTGTTTCAAAACGGATAGAATAAGATAAATCGTAAATTAAAAGAACTTTGCTTTAATATATGAACAGCGATGTAGCGTGAATTAATGTGAATATGCTAGTCGCTGCTAAGGTTTCTCAATACGTTTTCAGCGGGCATGCTGTCAAGTTTCGTACTGCAAAGCAATGCCAACAAGACATTTCTGATTTCTCTGGTTTGATCGGCATGATTTACCGTTTGATTTATCCTTCAATCTGTTTAATAAAACCGTTTTGACGGATAGAGCAAACCGTTTAAACGGAATGATCAAAACTTTTCCACGGATATGTCAGACCGTTTTCACGGATACACCAAACCGTTTTCACAGGTACGTCAAACCGTTTTCACGGATAGGTCAAACCGTTTTCACGGATAGGGCAAACCATTTTCACGGAAAGGCCAAACCGTTTTCACGGATAGGCCAAGCCGTTTTAACGGGAAGGCAAAACGTTTTAACGGTTAGCCAAAGCGTTAAAACGTTTAGTGTTCTCCGTTTTAACGGATGTTGAACGGCATCAGAACGGTTTTTTAGACCGTTTTTTCAAAACGTTAACGTATGTTTTCCCAAGGAGGGTCACAAATTGTCATAAAATTATGATTTTTTTAGTAAACGGTACGTATAATGGATGAAATTATAAGTTCTACGATGTGCGCAGTAAAAGTGCGCAATGCAAAACTGCGGAATTACCTTAAGCCATTGTTCCCAACATTGTGCTACAGCACTAACATCCATCTTAGGGTCAAACGGTGGCATGGGTAGTAGATATCCCGCGCTCGTCATGATCAAATACCTTCACAAAATGGCACAAATACTGTATATGTCAGATTGCCCGCCGATTTTTTATCTCACGTTTGAATCTTCATTTCTCACGAACACCCAAAATGAATCACTCGTTCTTTAATATTAACCGGTAATGCATAAATTTACCCTCGTCGCCAATGTTATATCTTCAAAATCGTTATTTATTTCAACGTACCTAAAACAAAACCTACACACATGTGCTCACTTCCAAAATCCACCGACCCCCCTGATGCAACGTTCTATACTTCATGTAACACCAACATAACAGTTAGGGTACTACGTCAATGAACTACAAAGACCGCTAAACAGCTAGTGACTCGGACATTTGACTCGGGCTCGGATTTGACTCGGTCTTGACACTGTAAGCCGACAAACTCCTTACTAAATTAAACCGTGTGTAAAATACCTAGTATAAACTAGTGTATATAGCATATGCCAAACTTTCTCTGGACGTAATGTTGCTACATCGCTTACTCGTTAATTATCTTTTTTTATTACAATGTACATAATTGAAATATGACAAAAATTTATGGCAAGTTCATGGCAAAAGTTATAAAGGTAGATGTTCAATTATTTTTCATATTAGTTGCGCGCATTGCATTTTGGGTATTTGTGCATTGCATTTTGGGTCTATCTGTTGATTAAAATTGAGAATTTCGCTAGCTATACATGAATTAACTTTGCTGCCTTGCTCGTTCCCTGTGGTAGCTTTAATCGTTACATGTCAAATTTTTCTCCAGTATAAAACCACTATAGTAAATAACTGGACCCCCCCATTCTGAACCAATATTTTTAGGTGACCCCACTTTTTCGGTCAAAAATACCTCATGACCCACCCACTTTTTTTGCCAGCCCACCCCCAGTCATAAATAATGAATGGTCCCTTATGACAGAATTATGTCCATGTTAATTAAGCAATATTTATTTAAAATACAAGCAAAAACTGCTGGTATTAAAAAAATGTGTTATAAACAACTAACGAAAGATGTTATAAGCCATGTGCCACTTTCAAAATAACAATGCGGAGCAGATGCCCTCATTTATTAACTCTTAAGTGTGCAATAAACAAAGTTTTGCACCCAACTATTTTATAGTTGCACGAAAAGTAGGTCAGAATTCTGTTATATGTCGCTTTAATTACTAATTTTATGAAAATCGTTCAACATACAGCAGCATATAAATGAAATATTGCTTGACGCATGACAGGAATAAATATAAGTCAATAAACTCATTATATGAGTTATAATCAAAGCAGAATTAGCCTAATCGTCGTCGGTTGCGTCTTTACATCAACTGTCGCAGATAAAGAACTGCCACGTTTGACAGCGCCACCTTACAGTCTGACCTACTCCTTCTGGGTCGACCCAGTAAAAATCGTTCTCTCAAGATCGATACCTTTTCGAAGTCCTAACTCTAGTTCAATACATTCAAATCGTACTAAAAAATCCTTTACACAGGGCTAACTTCGTTTGTTTAAAACCCAGTTCATGCAATTTTTCATGGCAAGAAATCTACGTGGTGTATGCATGCCATGTACCCTATGGGATTTTAAGCCCCAGCAATCGATTTCAGATGTTGTAATCCATTAGAAGCGTAAATTATATTGGTTTAAGGCAAAGTCCATAGACGCAACCGACGTTTCATTTACAATCAATTTTTCTTGCAATGTAAATGACTGATCGTTTTCTCACCTTTATTATCCTTGTCAAAGATCATCACCTTTCTTCTACCAGCTCTTTTTAGGACGATTGAAATGCAAATTACCACATTCGATTCGTTCTTGATTGTTTTGAAGTCCATGGTTTCCTTGTTCTCGTTTGCATCTGAAGGAGAATTTGAGATAGTTCCGGTCAGATTATAATCCGAACTCGTGGAAGCAGGCAAGCGGCAACCAAATACATCAAATGGAAGGATTTTTAACTGAATCTCTTCCCCGGCTACGCCAGTTTCAGGATAACGGAATTTCGATCCGGCCAGGTAAAATGGTGCGTCGTCGACTTGTATTTGAATCGCATTCAAAAGGAACTCATGATATGGAAAATTATTTTGCGTAAGAGCTATTAATAAATTATTTTCCCCGGCCTGATTAATCTTTATTTGCATTCGAAGTCTTTCGTTTCGAATTTGCGCACCCTTGTATTCCGTTTGTATTTCCTCCTCCTTATCGTTGAACAAATTCAAGCTAATGGTGTAGTCGTCGTTACTCAGTGTCTGAACACCATTGTCGTAGCAATCAACCAGTCGTGCCTCTAAAGTTGACCACTTGTCGCTGTACATTACTGTAGGATCCACTCTAAAACTTTCATCAATGGCGCCAATTGTTTCAAATCCAACTGTATTCAAATGATCTGGGGCGGAAGGAAGAACTTTAACATAAATGTATTTGGAACTGGACTTAGAACCAGACTTAACAATCAATCTAACTTTTCTAAACCCAGCAATTTTAAAACAAACTGTAACCACAAAACTTAATTTTTTTTCTGAAATAATCTTTCTTATATTCACTTGTTCTTTTCCATGTTGTTTCACTCCTGTTTTAAGAGTGGAAGATTGAACGTTTATTTCACATATTTCCGTCGAGTCTTTGAGTACTGGATTTCCAAAAATATCGTAAATCTGCACTTCGAAATTAAGACTTTTGCCTGCCGTACAATTTTGTTCAAGATTGTCATCAAGAAACTTCAGCGTAAGGAACGGTGAACACGGTGGATAAAGGATATTAATGGACATTCGGTAAGGAAAGATCGATTCCTGCATTGAATTCGATCTCTTGTCGACAAAATGTACAACCATCTTCCTTACTCCAATCAGCTTTGGCAAAAAAAACGCAAATATTGTGCCATTTCTCATTTTCCATTTCAAAGAATGCAAAACATTGTTGTCCCCGAACGATATCATAACATCATAGTCACCTTCTTCTCGGACTTCGTCGATTAAGTTTCCATACTTGTCAAGGACTTCAAATTTCAGCAGCGATTCAGTGCCATAATACAATGTGCCCATATTGGCTGCTCTATGTTCCTCCTCATGAGACCTCTGATAACAGCAAACGTCCACATTTCTTAGATATTTTGGCGTCGACGGAACTATGTCAACGTTTATATCTTGATCTAAGAAAAATAATTGTTGATTAGCGTAACGGTTAATTAGTGTCTATTTAAAATTAGTATAAACCTACTAACAGTGAGCTCTATATATATCTGGAGTAAGAACTTCAGTCATTCGGTCAATAAGAAAAGTGAAGCCAAGACGGCGGCCATGGACGTCCAATAGCTCTGAAGGTCGTAAACAGTTTTTATACCATTTTCCCAAGCTAATTCCAGTTTTTCTAATAGACCGTATCATTAATCAAGTTTTCAGTTCATAAAATCACAATATTATTCTTTTAATCGAAGTCAAAATACGAAATTTCAACACACTCCTTGCCAAGATGGCGGAAATTGAAGGAGCTCTTGGACGTCAGTTCCAGTCCCTTTCTATTGTTTTTGTATGCGCGGTTAACACGAAACTGGCTTCATTTTGAGCAACCAAGTTCCTACTCCAGATATATATGGAGCCCACTGCCTACTAATAGGCTATCATGTATTCTGGCTATCGTGCGTTCTGATTGGCTACGCTACTAGTAGGCTATTAGTGATAGCCTACTAGTAGCAACAAGCGGCGAAGGGCGCGAGAGTCAATGGCCATTTTTAAGTATTAAAAGCTGCATTTAAAGGGGAAAAGCTTATCAAAATAGCCTAATTTTGGTTCTGGATTACACACAAACAAAGACTCTTGGAAACTGCTGACACATGCGGTAAACTTTTTAAGTTTTCTCAACTTTGCTCGTAGTTTTGAACATGAAAGTGACAGGCGATTTTTTTAAATATATGCACAATGTTTGTTAATATTCCAAACAGAATCATTGAAATTCAACAATACTTTGTAGCTATTTACCCCTATTTTCTCAACTTCTTTAGTGTGTGCTTGTTTCAAGTACGAGTTCATGTATTTAGTTCATGTTTTAAGTACGAGTTCATGTATTAAATCTTGAGATTTTGGCCGAGTTTGTTTTTCGCCTTTTCGAGCCTTTTCAAGTCGAGTTTTTCGATTTTAATTTTAATCTAAACTACTGTCTATGTATACTACATTATGAAAATGGTTTGCCTCTTTATGTTCCAGATATTTTAAAGATTTCAACTACATTCGGATAATCGGATTCTTTTGCATGTGTGTGCATTTTTTTCGGCTTTTTAAAGTAAACTTTATTTATTAATTTAGTAACAATTCGGGAAGCCATTTTGTGTTCGAAAGGTGGACTTTTTAAGCCTTGTTTCCTTCTTTTAAATAAGTTTTAATTAACCAAACTTAGCTTCTATAACGGTCTCTTACTATTATACTGTTCTACGACATGTTTCTTAACTTTTTTTAAACACACAAGTTGTATTTTTCAAGTCATTCTTGAGAGTTCGCAACACTGAGTAGTTGTCAACAAAGGCAAAGCCGAGGCGAAATGTCGCCAAAGGAAGCCATTTAAACGCTCATTTCGTTAAAGCATTATTATTTTACATAAAAATCAAGTGAAAAATTCCGTTTTCTTTATGTGGTTTATACTAAAACAATTAGACAACTCAACCTCGTTGTCTCTGAACAAATAGTCAACTCGGCTTCGCCTCGTTGACTATTCGCTCATAGACAACTCGGCTTCGTTGTCTAATTGATAATTAATAAGGTAATGTCAATCCCACAACACTAGTGTTGAGTAATAGTAATTAGCTCAACTCAACCGAGCGTTAAGCAAGTCTTAACAGAATTGAATGCGAGATGAATGTGCAGCAGAAACTAGGCGTTCTTGGACAAAGTTAATCCAAGAGCCACACGCGGAGCGTGTAAGGCGAAGGCCGTGGCGAGGGTACTAATTACGGTCGGCTATTTACACCCGACAAAAGGAAAGCATTATGCGAAGTCTAAAGTTCATCAATAATCGTGGGCGAATGGCTATACATGTGTGTCCATATCACTCATCTCAAAAATATAGCTGCTTTCCAGGAGTGAAGGAAACAAAGATTTGAAGAACATCACAGAAAGCTTGGAAATCGTTTCACACAATAAATTATAAATCACCTTTTTCAAGTTTTAAAGAAACAATAAGTATGGGAAATCCTGAAGTATAGGAAAACTTTTCTTTTACTGTTGATGTATGACTTTGCTATTCATTTTTCGCCTGAAGGCCATGAACATGTACAGCTTTCTTTTTCATTGTATATGAAAGTTTATTTGAATTGACTTGTTTTAATATTATATAAAAGCTCAAAAAAGGAGTTCAAATTATTCTAAAATTATTCTTATATATATTTTGGAAATCAGTTCGTTCTGTGGTTAAAAGTGTAAAACATTCATTTATTTTTTCTGTTTTGTACAAAAAATTCAAAAAACCAATGATAGTGTTGGCATGGCTAGCATGACGCGAGCGACGCCGAGCCTGCGTTCAGTGTTGGCGTACTTGAGAATTTTTCATGCATGTTGAAACAATGTTTGGAAAATGTGGGAGAGGGGTTGTTGCAAGCATGTATTCTAGTTACAGTAGTCTGTCGCTGAGCATTCTTCAATTCATAGGCAATTCAGAAGACATGCAAGGACTGGAAACGCAGGTTATGCTGACAGGAAATCCGTGATACCCGTTTATCACGTCACAATTATCAATTGCAACGGTCACCGTTTTTACTCAGAGCAGAAACTGATAATTAAAATTATCAAAGGAGTGGAGAGAGGCACATTGGCGTCACTTATTATGTATGCAATGGCGTCATAATAGATGCGTCAGAATTAGACTGAGCAGGTTTGGTCAATATGAGAGTGCAAATAATTCAGTATATTTGTTACAAAATAGCAAGCCCTTTAACGTCCCTCTGTCCGTAACTCTTTGTCACAGGATTCGTTTCCACCAAATGGTACATTTATTGTCGTGATTCAATGTCAAACGTGACTTTGATGACTCTTATACTACTGTTTCGCCATCATCACAAATGCAACATGCGACATCGTTTTACGTGCAGATCGTCTAATATCTTACCAATGGCGTCTCATGCAGTAGATCAGGCATACTTTATGTTGGGAAAACCAGAAGTCTTTTGATGAAAAGGCACCATCGCCGTGCTGTCATTTGTAAAAATGCTACCGCCATGTTGTAAACGCGCGGATGGATAACGATTCAACTACTTGAAAAATACAATAAAACGACGACGTTTCGAGTAAGTGGTATTTTTGTTACTACCTAGACTTGCACAGACCGTTTGACGTTATACCGACAAGCTGCCAGATATTTATATGATGATAATGACAGGTTTCCAGGTGTTAAATCTCGAGTCCTCTTCCCCACATCTTGACAAGACAGGAAATGTGTATCATTTCGGAACATGGCACCGTCGACCTTCAATCCATCTATGCTTGACATCAACAGACGTTACCAGTACTTTCATTTCTATCATTTTTCTCACATTACTTCATACTTGTTTCTATGTATTCCGTGTATTTATCTTACTCACCTACATCTTGCACATATCTGCATATATTAGATCAATTTCCATTACACAAAATTGGCATAACCTTACGATTAATTCCCTGGGAAATCATGTTTGGCTTCCTTAGCCGCAACTCCACCAACTCAATGTTGACCTTTCTAATGGTAAATTACCAAAAGGTATTTCCTGGTTTTTCACGTTGAAAAACCAGGAAAGAGGGTGAATATTAATAGTACATATAGTGGCAGTTTTAGACTGGGTAGAGCGAGTGGAGAGTAGCGCTCCAATAACGATGTCAGCAGCAGGCAGTGAGGGTGGTGCACTATGGAAGATGTTTCATGGTCTTTTTTGAGGATATGGAAAATCCTCCTGATGAAATCTGCAATTTTTAAAATTAAAGATGTCATTAGGAGGAGTTTCTATATCTTGAAAAACGACCCTAAAAATCTTACATTAACTCCTTTGCTCCTTTTTCGGCACAGCAAAAATGTCCGTGCAACCCTTGTTCATAGCACCCTGCCACAGGATTCGTCCTCACAGAATGAAACGTTTCCTTGTTGTTACGGGGTGTACTCAGGAGCCTGAGACATAGTTGCCCCTTAAAATGAGCACGGACACCGCGAACTACAATGTTTTGGTTAGGACTTGATATTCGTAAAAATACTATCGACATATTATTGTGCAGCAGCAGCTCCGTGAACTCGCGCAAGACGAGGCGAAAGTGTGAAACATTCGAGGAGATATTGTAAAAATATTAAATATGTCGGCCCAAGATGAACCGACAACGTCCGTGGCGTCTCAGGAGGTTAAAATTATACAAATTCCGGTGAATTTGCCCATGCCACCGCAGCTGGCCATGACAGGTAATCCGGCAACGAATTGGAAAAGGTTTTATCGTGCGTGGAACAACTACAAAATAGCAGCGCTAGCACGTCTCAGCGGGATCCGAATAACCCTAGTACAAATAAAAAATTAAGAACAGCGACTCTGTTGACGTGCATTGGAGCTGATGCTCTTGATGTGTTTGACGGACTGGACTTCGCGAATGAAGACGAGAGAAAGGACATCGATGTTGTTGTAAGCAAGTTGGAAAAGTATTGTATTGGAGAGAAAAATGAGACGTACGAACGGTATTGTTTTAATAAAAGAGATCAAGAGTCATACGAAACGGCTGATGCTTACTTTGCAGCCCTTCGTACTTTAGCCAAGACATGCAACTTTGGTAATTTGGAAGAACAACTTGATAAGAGATCGTATTGTCATGGGTATTAAGGACAACGCCACACGAAAGAAATTATTGCAAGTCTCAAAGCTTACTCTGCAACAAAGTATAGATATAGTTCGGTGTTGTGAAAAGACGGCGAAGCAACTCGAATCGATGAAAGCTGAAGGTGAGCAAGTTTTGGCTGTTGGAAAAGAACAGTACAAAGAGCAAAGGAAGCGAGTCAAGAAAAGAGTTGAAGAAGTGTTAATCAAGTGTAAATTCTGCAACAAATCTTATCCCAGAGATAAGTTCAAATGCCCAGCCTGGGGCAAAACATGCTCATTGTGTAAAAGAAAGAATCATTTTGCAGTCGTCTGTAATGCTCAACGAAGACCATTTAGCCAACGAAAGTCAGTATCCGGCGTCAACGATGATACAGACTCATCGGAGGGAGAATATATAGGTCTGGTGGAGATCAAAGAAGAGGTAGGTGCAGTTAACTCTGATCAATACACCTACAAACCAAGTGCCCCCTTGATGATTAACAAAAACCTAGAAAGTTTTCAAATTGACAGTGGAGCCACAATAAATGTATTACAGTATCTAAAAGGACACTGGCAGGTTGTTTTCAAAAGCCTATTGAGACGAAGCTGGTGAAAACAAACACCACCTTTGTAATGTACAATGGGTCCGAAGTGAAGCCTATCGGAAAGACAAGGATTCAAGTTATTAATCCTAAGAATAACAAGAAATACAGTATAGAGTTTATGGTCGTGGAAGAGAATTGCAAGTCCATACTCGGGGCTAAAGCTAGTCAACTCATGAACTTACTTGCAGTTAACAAAGAGAACATTTTTACTACCGAGTCAAATGTTAAAGATGTACCCAAGTTTATCACCAAACAGCATCTCATTGAGGAGTATCCAGCAGTGTTCCAGGGTCAAGGAACTTTACCGGGCACATTGCATCTGCAGATTGATGAATCCATCTCCCCAGTCGAGCTCCCAACACGAAGGATTCCACTGGCTGTGAAAGATAAACTCAAAGCAGAGCTCAACCGACTAGTCGATGTGAACGTCATAGCTCCTGTAGATACAGCGACGACCTGGATATCGGCTATTGTGGTTACAGTCAAGAAGAATGGTGACATCCGATTGTGTATTGACCCAAAGCCATCAAATAAAGCTCTCAAGCGTAACCATTACCCTTCACCCACCATTGACGACATTTGGCCCAGGCTCGCTGTTTCTCAGTCGTTGATGCCAAAAACGGGTCTTGGCATGTCCGTTTTGATGAGCCAAGTTCCTATGCAACAACTTTTGGCACTCCGTGGGGTCGGTACCGGTGGCTTCGCATGCCCTTTGGCATATCACCCGCACCAGAAGTGTTTCAACGTCGTGTGAATGAAATCTTGGTGGGTCTCCCTGGAATCAAAGTCAATGCAGATGACATTCTTGTTTATGGCAGTGGTGCAACCGATGAAGAAGCTTATCTAGACTACGACAAGAACCTCAAGGGCTTGATGGAACGATGCAAAGAGAAGGGTCTCAAGCTGAACCCTGACAAGATCCAACTTCAACTCAAAGAGGTAAGCTACATGGGCCATCGTATTACATTGGATGGACTAAAGATTGACCCCGAGAAAACGAAGGCCATCCGAAACATGCCAGTCCCCACAGATAAGCTGGGAGTGCAGCGATTGCTTGGCATGGTGAACTATGTCCAGAAGTTTGCCCCTAAGCTAGCTGAAAATACTACACCTCTACGTGATCTGATCAAGAAAGGAAATGAATTCATATGGAAGGAACATGTACATGGGAAAGCGTTGGATGAAATCCGGCAGATCCTCTCAGAACCACCAGTACTACGGTTCTTTGACCCCAATGTAATGCCAGTCCTGCAGTGTGACGCGTCCATGGCGCTGGAACATGCCTTTTACAAAACAATCAACCAGTGGCATATGCATCAAGGTCTCTAACACCAACTGAAGTGCAGTACGCTCAGATCGAGAAAGAGATGCTGGTCATCGTGTTTGGGTTGGAAAGATTCGAAAGTTATCTGTATGGTCGAAACGTAAAAGTGGAATCAGATCACAAACCACCAGAGTCTATTTTGAAGAAAAGTCTACTAAGTGCACCAAAACGCTTACAAAGAATGATGCTACAACTCCAGAAGTTTGAGCTCGAATTTGTGTACAAGAAGGGGCCACTTATGTTTATGGCAGATACACTAAGTCGCGCAACTCTCCACCAGCCTAATGCCGGAGAGATAGAAGTAGTAATGATAATGCATGACACAAAATCAGCAACGGAAAGAGAAGTAGAGCAAATTGATATGTTGCAGAACCTAGCGGTAAGAGAAACTACTTTAGTCCAAATTAAAGAGCACACGGAGGCAGACAGCCACCTGCACGCGTTGGTTCCAATTGTGAAAGAAGCGTGGCCAAGTACACAAGCTGAAGTTTCACCCATTTCGCGATGAGTTGACAGTACAAAATGGAGTTATTTTTAAAGGAGAGCGGTTGATTGTGCCAGAAGGATTGAGAACAGAAATAAAAGAAAAACTTCACTACAACCATGGCAGGGTACAGGCTACACTTATAAGAGCAAGGGAAGTATTCTATTGGCCAGGGATGAACAAGGACATCGAGGATGTCATCGCGAAGTGCAATTTTTGTGCGCAGTATCGAGCAACAAACCAGAAAGAACCTCTTATGAGTTCTCCAGTCCCAACACGTCCATGGGAGTCGATCGCAACAGATCTGTTTGAGCTTCGAAACAAAGACTTTCTTGTTACAGTGGACTACTACTCTAACTTTATAGAAGTAGACAGATTATACTCGAAGACAAGCACTGAAGTTATCCAAAAATTAAAGGCACACATGGCACATTGCGGTGTACCTGAGTGGGTAGTCAGTGATAACGGGCCACAGTACAGTTCCAGCGAGTTTCAGGACTTTGCTGCGCAACATGAATTCGAACATGTAACATCGTCGCGTCGATATCCTCAATCCAACGGGAAAGCAGAAAGTGCGGTGAAGACCGCAAAGCGGATTATGATGAAAGCGTTAGATGCGAAAGCAGATCCTTACCTGGCCATTCTCGAACACAGGAACACACCATCAGAAGGTATGAGTACCTCGCCAGCACAACGATTATGTGGAAGGAGAACAAGATCCACAATTCTTGTAAAAGTAAATTGCTTGGGCCTCCCTGTATGCATTCTTCAAAACAGGAGTTCCAACAGGCAAAAACTAAACAAGCTTACTATTACGACAAGGGGTCAAAGAAACTTCCAACACTCAAGGTCGGTGATGCAGTCCGTATGATGCCAGAGAAAAGAAAGAAAAGCTGGAAGAAAGGAAAGGTGAAAGCGATTGCTAGTCCGAGGTCGTATATTGTTGCAACTGATGATGGAGGAAACTATAGAAGAAATCGCAGGCATCTTCGCAAAACTGTGGAACCAGACGAGTTAGACGCAGACATAGAATTGCCAATGGAAGAACATGATGTTCCAGACCGACAGCAGCTGCCAGAATGCGAAGAATCGGTTGCTCATGAACCTGAAGAGCATGCAGCTCCCAATGGTACAAGGAGAACATCCAATAGACAAACACGTAGACCAGCATATCTCGAGGACTATGTGACTGAGTCCTAATGCAAGTTTAAAAACATGTTTATGTAGAACCCTGAAGGAGAGAGATGTTATGGGGTGTACTCAGCAGCCTGGTACATAATTGCCCCTTAAAATGAACACGGACACCCCAAACTACGATGTTTTGGTTAGGACTCGATATTCGTAAAAACACTATAGAACATATTGTTATCATCTAGATTTATGAAATAAAAAACCTTTTACTTGTTTATACATAACATAACACTTGTTGGGTGCCCCAATGGAATACAGTACCTATAATTTTATAACTTCTGCTACTGCCATTTCGACACCAAAATCTAAGAACTATGTTAACGACCATTTCACATGGACCTCCTCCCATCTCAGCTACTGCATCTCATGCACGAGATGTGGCATACCTTATATTGGAGAAACAAGGAGGACAAAGCTTGGCGAGTATCGCCGTGCAGTCATTGCCAACGATACTAGCAAACCTGTTGCTAGATATTTTAATAGTGGCAATTATAGTTTTTCAGACATGAAAATTCGAGACCTCTGTCGAATTACTGGAAGCAATGATAGCCGAAAAAGAGATGAATGCGCCTCATTCCCAAACCTGGCACTGTCTATTCCTATGATAGTAGTGAACGTTTTTCCTGTGTTTAGCTCTTTCTCTCTTTGCCGATCAAAAGCAGACATTAACAGTCTTTAAATGCTCACCTTATTGCAATTTTTTTTCTATCTATTATTTGTAATTATTGTAGTTTTCTGTATATTTGTATTAAGATATTCTGTAATATGATTTACATATTTGTTTACCTTTTGGTTAGACTAATTCAATCTGATCGGTTTATGTTTTTTCACGTGGTCGCTTTTATATGGCAAAAAAGTTCAGCCAATTTTCCCGATCCACGCTACCACTGCAACTTCCCGTGAAGGTCGCTTCGCTCGAACAGTCGAAATTCTGCTCGTATTTTTCGGTAATTTGTTGCATACATATCAATCTTATTATCGTCACTACATGCACTTGCACCGACCGTTCTTAATAGGCTATGACTATGGCATAGATAAAGATCCATATAGAAGGGCCACTTACGTCCGAAGCTTTGAAGTTTCTCTCCTCGCGCATGTCGCATTACGCATGTTGGCCGCCATTTTCCTAGCTAGTCAATCACATTTTCTGGCCAATAGACGCGCTTTACTGTCTGCTTGCTCCGCCTTCTGGCCAGTAAACTGGATATTTTTGCATAAAAAAACGAGGACACGTTGCACCGCTGAGTGGCCCTTCGGTTACTAATCTTTATTCTGTGACTATAGTCTTAATAGTCAAGGACTAAAGTCTTATTAGTTATGACTATAATTTTAGTTGCTATGTCACTACTATTTTATTAGTCGTGAACTATATATAGTCTTATTAGTCCCGGACTAAAATTTTAATAGTCATGGGTAATAGGATTACTAATTATCAAAGACGGTTTTAATAGAGATTGACAGTAGTCTTAATTGTCATGGACAATTATCTAAATATTTATGACTATAATCTTTATTGTTATGTACGATAATCTTAATAGCCATGGACTATAGTCTTAATAATAGTCATAGACTATAGGATTAACAGAAATGGAATATAATTTTAATCCCCGAGCCAACGGCGCGAAGCCCCGTTCCGGGCTTAAGCCCAGGGCGACGGTACTAATTCCGTTCGGCTATTTACACCAGCGGGTAAGAAAGCATTAATTAACGCGGCCAAAAGTCGTGTCATGTGTATGTGTGTGGGCGGACATCCTGACTGATCTCTGCTTTCCAGAAGTGCGATAGGCAAGATTTCAATTTTTAAAAATATATATTTGGGAAATCGTTTTATACAAAACAATGAGTTTTGAAGAAATTTACCTTCAAGGAATAAGAAGAATTGATATACTATATGGGAAATCGAAAATACAGGGCAAGTATACATTGAATATTATGTTTATGAATTTTATTGCTTGACGAGTAAACATGTTGTTTGTGATGTTACTCTGAGTGTATATCCAAACCGGTCAAGCGTGAAAAATATGCCTGACCACGGTGGGACAGGGCCTTTTATAACATACAAGTAGAGGGGGGAAGAAAAGTCCCTTTTCCCTAAAATTATAGAAACAAACCAGCGAAGATTAACAAATACATAAACGGAAAGTAAGTTTTAGGCTTTATCCTTTGTCCTTGTTTAACAAAATCGATTTAAATTGTTACTTTTTTCTACCACTATAAAGTAATGATAAATTATTGTTAATAATTTTTTTTATTTTTTGGATGCTCAGAATGCAGGAAATAGCATTTCCGGGTTTCAAATTTCAAAAATTTTCTGCAGATTATCCCTCTAATAAGTAATGATAAATTACAGTTAATATTCTTTTTTACTTTTTGTGCATTTTTTCTATCTTTTATTTATCATTTTTTCTATCAGATATTTCATATCTGGGGGAGCATACTCCCACACACCTGACCATTCCCATCCTACTCTAATAAGTAATGATAAATGATGGTTAATTTTTTTGTACTTTTTGTGCATTTTTTCCTTTATTTATTTTAAATACAAGTATAGTTAGCATAAATTTTGGAGCAAATTTGGATGCTCAGAATGCAGGAAATGACATTTCCGGGATTCAATTTTCAAAAATTTTCTGGGGGAGTACGCGCCCAGACCACCCCCATTCACGCGTGATATATTGGCCACACACGTAACCTTCAGCCATTGCTATCCCCCTCTAATATATTATCTCACAGAAAAGTCCCTTTTCAAAAAATGTCCCCCCCCCAAAAAAAAAAAATCTTAGCAATTCAGAATATATACTGCAAGTCAAGGTATTGAACTGGTAAAACCATCTATCTATAATGCATCTATAATTTGTTTCGAGCGATACACTTGCGAGCGGCAGCCTTTGTTAGCGATTTAGTAATACACGGTGTATGAAAGAAGACCTTTAGAAATAGCCTAATGTTACAATTTAAATGCCAGAACACTGCGCTAAGCCACGTGTGCATAATCGCGCATAACTTCATTGAATTTTATGCATGGAAATTATCAGTTTAAAAGATTTTCCATTTCATCCAACATGTCAACAGATAACCACTGCTTATCACACTGGCCTGTAAAGCCTGGTTCACACGATGAAATAAGCATAAGCACAAGCATAAGCACAAGCACAAGCAGCGGAACCTTTGATGTGCATAAACGTAAGCATAAGAAGAACGCAACATTTGTTCTTCTTATGCTTACGTTTATGCACATGGAAGGTTTCGCTGCTTGTGCTCATGCTTATTTCATCGTGTGAACCAGGCTTAAGGCCAAATGTCTTAAATCCCTAATTTTCTAGCGGGGTTTCTGGGTTTTTTCGTCGTCGAGAAATCGAGTTTGCGTTAGCGCATCGCAGGTTCAGTTTTCGGTGTTCCAGTTTACTATACAGATCTGTTTTGAAGATGGCGGTCATTTATAATGAGTGAATATTTCAGTCTCAAACAATTTCTTCATTTGTCAACGAATTTTACCGCGTTTTTCTGTGGATTTTGTATTTATCCTACTCTGCACTTTCTTGGAAGTTGACTTGGTGTTGCTTTTTCTTGCAACGTCTCTGCAAATGCGATATTTGGATCGCTGAGTTTTGGGGTGGAGTAATATCGGATTTTATACGTTACAGACTTAATGCGGGAATGCATGTAAACAATGTTGTCTGAGTTAGCGCATCGCATACTCAGAGAACATGTGTATTTATGCATAACGTTTGTATTTGTGATTAATAATTGTGTTTCATTAGATATTACGAAAACATCTTAATTCCTCACTAGTCTTCAAGATAACTTTATAGGATAATTTTGCGCATTCAACCGACTCATGTGTCAATCACGTTACGCTTTGCGTTTACGGTTTACGATTTGTATTCCTTGTCTATTTCTTGTCCCCTGAGTAGGCGTATTGTTAATTTAACGTAGCGCTCAAGCCTTAATGCACTAATATCGAAATATCAAGCACCGTGTCCTTCGACGTGGCCCCCATTTCTCTCAACAGCAAAGTACTGTGCGCTTGTGCATACAACAAAGATATTGTAGTGTATGCACGTGTAGCGGTCAATATTTTACGCATCCGTACACTTAGCAATATTTAATTTATAATTGGCATTGAAATTATAACAATAGAACAATTTCTAAAGTCTTCTTTTTTTATACTCCCGGTAGTAGGCAGACCGCGGTGTTTATGTATCACTTTTCGATTCATTTGTCGTTTTGTGACCATTGTTGTCAAGGCACGACCTATGCAGCACTCTACATAGTCATATAGTTCAATTTTAGTAATAGTTGACAATTGGACATGCAAGTGACCGTCAAAGAGGGCTAGAAAACAACAACCGGCATAACTATAGTATATAGTCAGAATGCGGCAAGTCATTCCCAGTTTAATATGCCCATATTAATTTATTCTGTAGTGTGATTTACATGTTCTGTTAATGTATATACACTTTGTTTTGATTAAATCCTTCTAATTTATTTATTTTTATCGCGTGATTGCTTTTGCATTGTTTACCAACCTGCACGCTATTAATTTCCTGACAAAAGGCTTGTATTTTTCGCTTTATCGCTACTTACTGTACACTGGCGCCCAAAATTTGATTCAAATATATGGCCTATCAAGTCGAATTTGTCCTACAATAATGATTTGTTTGAGAAGTAAATGTAATATAATAGAACAGTTTGTCGTCTGATTTGTGCATACTACAACATAATTATGAACATTGTTTGATACGACAATACCTGCGACCTTTCCGGGCCTACCACTCGACGACAGCATGATAAACGTATATGCTACGAAATAACGACTATCGCACAAATTTCACAGTTTCCTTGGATCACTTTAACAGAATAAAACAACTGAAACATTTAGAAAATGCCACTGTTCGATCGTATACGCACTTATGTTAAAACGTTCGAGCAATCTTAATTCTAGTCGATCATAATTTATTACCGTTTGGTAATTTAGCCTTTAGCTTTATATTCTTATATTTCTGTTGGCCTTTCATATCGTGAGTTTCATATCTACTTGCATTTCATATCACGAGACCGTGAGGTTGTGCTCAAAATCGCGAGTCTTGCGATAAAAGCGGCATACAGTTGCAATGAATAATTATGATGGCTTTGCTTGACCTTTACGGGAAACTGTTTAGATCGAACCGCTGAAAGAACTATCAAGTGTGGACTATGTGGTTTACTGTGATAATATGTGTCGCTTACCTTCAAATTGATACCATTTCCCAAGGTCCAGCCTTACTGTAGCTCTCCCAGCGCAACGAGCGTAACAGCGAACATTGAGTTGTCGAGGATTTACTTCGTTTATATAAAATTCACAGTCTTCCACAGCTACCGCGTTTTTATCGCGGTTAAAAATTGTAATTTTATTCTCGTGATAATCTTTAAACTTTGAATTAGGATTGGTTAACTCGATACGACAAATTAGTGCGGTTTCTCCACACGTTATTACTGATCGGCAGTGCTGAATTTTCACTTTGTCTGCATAGAAGCTACAAAGCCATCTCGAGGCCGCTTCCATTATGTCGCAGACAACACGTACTGTATATTTGAGAAGAAGAATTTGTTTGCATGAGAGGATGCACGTGACTGGTAATGTAATATGTATGCAAACTTTGCATATGTTCAATCCTAAATAGTTTGGATAAGTCCAATTATTGGTGGTTATTGAACAGGGACCGCGGACCAGGGGGGGGGGGCTGGGGGGCTTTAGCCCCCCAATTATTTTCCATACATATCTGATTTTAACTGATAGCGCAGATAGCACTTTTCCTTGCGTAGTCCAGAAAAATATCAAATGTCTGATTTGCGTGTTTCAGAATTCCATTTCCAACCAGCGAAACATGTAGTTTTTACAAACAACAGGGTTCAACCTTCATGACGCTGTGCAATAATGTCAAGAGTTGTTAGTCGCATTTGACCACTTTATTTAAAATTCGGAGTCTATAGCTAACATTAGACACCTTAAGATTAACGTTTACGGCAAACGTCAAACCGCTAACAAAATGTTTGATTTTACAACTCTACTATAACAGCTTTTAAACCAGTTTTCAAATATATTAAACAATTATTAAACTTGTGGTATTTAGCAATGATTTAAGAAAGCAAATTAAACACTGGTAACGTATTCACAAAAGCAGTAAATTAAGATTTGGCGTTTGAAGTTTACGTTTGGCGTATAAATTTCATGCTTTAACGACTACAAGCCCTCGTAGCAGTTCAAGCATGAAATTTATACGCCAAACGTAAACTTCAAACGCCAAATCTTAATTTACTGCTTTGGTCAATTCGTGACTAGTGGTTAATTTGCTTTCTTAAATCATTGCTAAATACCACAAGTTTAATAATTGTTTGATATATTTCAAAACTGGTTTAAAAGCTGTTATAATAGAGTTGTAAAATCAAAAATTTTGTTAGCGGTTTGACGTTTGCCGTAAACGTCAATCTTAAGGTGTCTATTATCCAAGGTGTCACACCCGGTTTAAAATAAATAACTCCATATCACTTCAGACACAGTGAATACGTGTGTTTCGCTTCGGTTCCAAACAAAATGTTGGCGTTAAAACTGCTAAGCGTCGTTCTAACTTACTGTTTGCTTGTGATTGATTATTCTTTGCCTTTGGATCCTAAATTATCTCCCAACAAAATTCTCACGAAAAGAATGCAGGTTATATAATAACTACAGTGAAACACGCAATTTGATTGGTCAAATTTGATTGGTCAATTTGCAGCAATTTGATTGGTCAAATTTGATTGGTCAATTTGCAGGATCAGGCTATCCTCCACTAGGAATTAAAATGCCTTCGCGGGATTTTCAAAATGTCATAGTTTTACTGCAGTAGTGCAGTTATTTTATAAAGCAATTACCAAATGGTTTTCCAAGCAGGATAGCGCGCGTGATCCATGCACTTGGGATGTTGCTCGACATTCGGAAAGTGTAAAAATACCCTCGCCTGCGGCAGTCGAGTATTTTTAAACACGTTATTATTGAACACGTTCCAGAAAAAAACAACATTTCTAAGAAAGGTAGAGACGATAAGTATGGAAAATGCAATTTAAATTACACTTAAATAAGGCATTAAAGTTCGAAGAAAAAAATCTATTCAAG